AGACGTGTGGCTTTCTGGCGCTGTTGTGTATGGTGAACCCAACGCTCATCACTATCCGGCTTACCAAAGGAATAATGAGCACTTGCTTCACCATGTGGCTTCTCACGTTTGCAATTTGAGCTCTGGACCCCGGTTTGTGTCAGGCGATTGGAATGTTTCACAGAACAGCCTTCCTGCATTTGACCTTTTGACTCATGCTGGCTTTAGAGATATCCAAGATGTTGCTCTTGAAAGGTGGGGACAACCCATCCAATCCACTTGCAAGGGATGCACCAGGCGTGATTTTTTGTATATCTCCCCTGAATTGCAAGATATCCTTGTTGGTGTTGAGGTGGTGCACGATGTGTGGCCGGACCACTCTGTGCTGAAAAGTGTCTTTCGCAGGATTACATGTGCACCATCGCTTTGGGTGTGGCCCACACCTGACCAATTTCCTTGGCCGAATCAGTTTGCAGAAGATGTTGTTTGGCCTGGTGACATGGACATGACTGAGGCGTATGCAGCCACCTGGGCTGCCATTGAAACCTCTGCGTGTGCAAGGGTGCCTTTCCAGGTCAACAAGAACATGTGTGGCCGGGCCTCTCGTGATGCCCCAATCAAGGTTCGTAATGGCCTGTTTTCTCCTGCCAAACTTGGTCGAAAAGGTGATTTCCAACCTGAGTTCTTTGGGTCCTCAGTGCGTCATTCCAGATGGTTACGACAGGTTAGGAGACTCCAATCGTATGCTCGCCTTGCCACCAATGAAGCGACACACCTGGCCTTGCAGCGTGTGGAAGCATGGGGTGCCATCGTGAGAGCGAAAGGTTTTTCCCCTTCCTTTGATGTCTGGTGGAAGTTGTCTGAGTTCAAAACTGCTGATGCCCCAGTGGAGTGTCCTGACCGACCACCACCTGCATCACTTGCCTTTGCCATGTTTGAATCCATGTCCATTGCAATGCGAACTTTTGAGGCCCAGCTTAGGAGTAGCTCTCGCCAATATGCTAGGTTTCGCAGAGACCAAAATCCCAACCTTGTTTTCTCTGACATCCGACCACCTGCGGTACCAGGGGTTGACATTTTGCTGCAACCTATCAGGGCCGTGGTGGAATCGGTTGAACCAGATGAGGGCAAAATTGTTTTGACTGAACCATGCTCCTTTTTGCCAGGGAATGTTATTTCATGTGATGGCAAGCCTCTTGAGGTGATTCACCATTCTGAGGATGCGGTATGGGCTGCTGATGTTTCTGAAATCCAGCCTGGCTCTATGGTATGTCAAACCAAGTTTGTGGGTTCACATGCTGACTTGGAAACAGAATTTCTTCAGGTTTGGAAAGCACGGTGGATGCGTCATGCAGAGGTACCGTCAAGTAGGTGGCAATCCATTGTTGATTTTTCCCAGCAGTTTTTACCCAAACTGAATCTGAATTGGCCTGCACCTTCTGTTCCAGAGATTCGGAGGATCATGCAGCACAAAAAGAAAGGCACTTCTCCAGGCTTTGATGGTGTCACGTTGCTGGATTTGAAAAGGATGCCTGATCACGTCTTGCAGGTTTTCTGCGACATGTTTGCACAGTGTGAACGTTTTGGATCATGGCCTGCACAACTGGTTGATGGACGAGTTATTAGCCTTGCCAAAGTAGCTTGTCCGTCTTCACCAGCAGATTTTCGTCCGGTCACGGTTTTTGGCCTATTGTATCGAGTATGGAGCTCATATCACTCTAGGAAAGCACTGGCCTTGCTAGATGTTGCCCTGCCTGACACTCTCCATGGTGGGAGACCTGGTCGATATGCTGCTCAGGTGTGGTCGAAGCTGCTTTGGACTGTGGAACATTCGTACCAACATTCCGTTGATCTGTCAGGGGTGGTTGCCGACCTGCAGAAAGCTTTCAACATGCTCCCTCGTCTTGCGGTGTTTGAGATCGCTGGTCACATTGGCCTTCCTGGGGGGATGTTGGTTGCATGGGCTGGTGCTTTGTCGCAGATGAAAAGAAGGTTTCTGCTCCGTGGGTCTCTTACGGCAGGAGTACCTAGTGTCACTGGCTTTCCAGAAGGTTGTGGATTGAGTTGCGTAGCAATGGTACTCATTGATTTCGCATTTCATGTTTGGCAGCAATCATTTTTTCCCTTGTGTACGGCCTTGTCTTATGTCGATGACTGGCAACTGTTGTGTCCTCATAGTTCCATGTTGGCTGGGGCCAAAAGATGTTTGGACATGTTTGTGCAAGCAGTTGATCTGTCCCTGGATGCCAAGAAGACATATGCCTGGTCTCTCACCTCTGGCGGGCGACAGCTTTTGCGAAGTGAGGGATTTACAGTCGTTTTGGGGGCAAAGAATCTGGGTGCACATGTCCAAGTTTCCAAGAAACACACAAATGCTTCTCTTATGGATCGGGTCAACTCCATGGCATCCATGTGGCCACGCCTGCGCCTTTCTGCATGCAGTTACCGAACAAAGATTCGCGCATTGCTAGTAGCTGCTTGGCCGCGTGCCCTACACGCTGTGGCCGCTACTACTTTGAGTGATGCGTCCATCCATTCTCTGAGGACTGGGGCAATGAAAGGCCTTGAGGAAGATGGGGCGGGATGCAACGCCTTTGTTCAGTTGGGTCTCATTGAACACCCTCTGGTCGATCCTGGTTTTTGGACAGTGATACAAACCATTAGGTGTGCACGAGATTGTGGGGATCCTGGTATGATTCGCAGCACCCTGGCTGCTTTGACTCAACAGCCCCAGCTGATCCCTGAGAATTGCATTACCCGGACGTTGATGGACAGAGTGCAACTTTTGGGTTGGCATGTGAATGCCGATGGTTTCCTTCAGGACGTGTTTGGTGTTTTTTCACTGTTCACTGTTTGCATGCAAGAGCTCATTTTCCGTGCTCAGTGGGCTTGGCAGTATTTCGTTGCTGCTCAGGTGACTCATCGCCCAGGGTTCCAGAATTTGCACCTTGCTGATCCTGTGGATACTAGGTCCTTCTTGCGGTCCTTGTCAACTGAGGATCAGGCCTTGTTCCGGAAATGCCTGAATGGATGCCACATTACCCAAGATGGTAAAGCATACTGCCAAGAAGGGGGAACCAGTATTTGCCCCTATTGCAACTGCACAGACTCTCGGTTCCACAGATTTTGGGTTTGTGAGCGATTTGCTTCAGAAAGACGGGCTTTGTCAGATGAAGTGCATGGTTTTCTGGCTACTGCTCCTGATTTCCTCACTGGCTATGGATGGAGTCTTCGCCCCCATACCACGGTGGCCTGGTTTCAGGGGTTAGCTGCAATTCCTTCACCCTTGGCTCTCCCGGTTCCTGGTCAAGAAGGTGATTTGCACATGTTTACTGATGGTAGTTGTCTGAACCAAGCCTTTCCAACATGCCGTGTTGCTGCGTGGGCAGTGGTTATTGCAAGTCCCCTTTGCCCTGGATCAAGTGTGGTGGCTGACTCTGGCCCTCTGCCAGGCATTCTTCAGAGCTCCTATAGGGCGGAGATTTTTGCGGTTCTTCGGGCGCTTCAGGTATGTAGACTTCAAACAGGTAAGATTTTTATCTGGTCTGATTGCAATGCCGTTGTCAAGCGTTTGTCCCGCATGCTTGCCGGTGGTGAACCGAAACCTAATAGTGCACATTATGACTTGTGGCGTGAGATCTTTTGTTGCCTGCAGGAATTTTCAACTGATCAGATCGTGGTTGCCAAGGTCAAGGCGCATCAGCGGATGGTGGATGTGAGCTCTCCGTTGGAAGAGTGGTGTGTGACTCAGAACTCCCTTGCTGACCAAGCTGCCAACCAAGCACAATGGAAGCGCCCTGCGTCATTTTGGCAGCTCATGGATGCACATATCAATGCCACTTTGGCTTGCCGAAGGATTTCGAGAGAAGTCCAGGGTGTTATGTTGGCCATTAGCAAAGCTGCAATTTGTGATGATGGTGGGGAAGATGATGTTGAAAGAGTTGCTTTGGGTGTGCCAGCCGACGTTCCTGCTGATGCCTGGGTTGATTTGCAGCCTCTTTCCATTCCTGCTCCAGCAGTCCGATGGTATGGTGATGAAGTTGTGCGGTCAGTGCTGTCGTGGTACTGGCAATCTTTACATGGCAGTGAGCATGAGGTCATTTGGGTCTCGCAGTATCATTTGTGCCTTGATTTTGAAATGTCTGGTGAACGGGGCCCTACGAAATTTGATGTATGGCGCCCTGGACGATGCACCCCTCACCTTGACTTGCTGTCTATTCCGTTTCAGACTAGGTCTCGATGGTTTGCAAAGGTGGTAAAGGAATGCTTGAGACATATGGGGCAAGGCTTCACATTTGCGTATTGCAGACCTCATTCGACTGCTCTCTTTTTGCATACTGGTTGCCTGGCTCTTCGTTGGGACCCTTCTAGAATCTGCGCCATTGACACCTGGATCTTGCAGTTTCTCCTGGAGGAATATCTCGCACGTCAAAAGCATTGGAGGGCCTTCCGGTTGCATCAAGGAATGCAGAGTTTCCACCGGTTTGGCTTTCGTGTGCATAGAGGCGCCTTACAAGAGGGCTGCCAGCGCCTGACTCTGGTAGCGCTTAACATAAAGTGGGATAAAGTGGTGGTTTGGAACATTTTTCATTTTCGCATATATTTGGAATAATCATACCAACTGATTTTCATATTTTTCAGAGGGGTTGAAACCACCAAACAGTGATGGTCATATAGTGATGGTATTGATCACGATGGCAATCATCCTGGAGATGGCAAGTTGGAATGCGAAAACAAGTCCATTTGGTAAGGGTAACAGTAATGAACATGATAATCATGATGGTGTTGTCATGATCATTATCATTATTGTTTTCATCATTATCATTATTGTCATTATTATCATTATTATCATTATTCCAGAGGGGTTGAAACCACCAACCAGTATACATATATATATAATCCACCAGATAATCCACCAGATAATCCACCAGATAAACCATCATTAACCATTGTTAAACCATCATTTTCCCATAGAATAATATTTAAAGATTCCCATCTACAGTAACCATAGACCATCCCAGGTCGGCGGCGGTTTCGTGGAGACTTTCGCCTTCGGCGGCCTTGCCCCTTCCACGCAGGAAGAGGGCCTGACGGAGGTGGGAAAGCCGGAGAAGCCCTTCGCGTTGCCCTACGCGGCAGCTCGGAGAAAGGTGAAATCACCAAGTGGTGGCCATGAATTCAGGGGAAAAGGGGAAAAAGATGGGGAAATCATGGAAATATTGGGATTTTCATAACCGCAATATCTGGGTGTCATTGGGAGACCTGAAAATCATCGAATTTCTTTCCTTTTGCCATCAAATCATGGGGGTGATTCGATGATAAAGTAGTGGATTTTGTGGGGTATCCTATTTTCAGACAAACTCATGTAGTACCCCCCAAAAAATAGACATATCTATACAATTCGAACACATATTATTGTCACTGGGGTCTGCTGTACGTTAAACTCTGACCCCAAAACATGAAAATGAATTTAATACTGAAGCATACGAAAGCCAATGTTTTGATTGGAGAGTATGTTTTAGTATGAGGAGGAAGGCATATTGTTTAAGCAGCGTTATATTGTACTATTACTTTACGATGATGATCATCCAAGTCGAGAAAAAATACGGAACCCATCCAATTTTTTAGATCGTCAAATGTTTTGGGATACTTGGAAGATCATTCCGATCAGTGGATAGTAATTGCGGTTACAGACCAGTTAACCCAGGATTTCGAAACTTACCAGCGATCGATCACACTTTTGGACACTGGAAACTCAATCTAACTCAGTTTCCACATGTTCTACATATCTAACAGTTGGAAACTTACTACATATCTAACCGTACGCCAGACTTACCATATCGCTCACCGCCAGGTGGCAATCAGCAGTTGGGCTCCAGCCAACTACATGGAGCTTAGCCGCGTGACTGCGGATCATTTGAACCAACGACAGACACTGGGCGTCAACGCCGATGTTTTTTCGAAGGAAATCATGGGATATAGACTCTTTGGAAGTTTGCTATTCATGAATCATGGGATATACTTTTGGAAAAAAGGTGTTTCTAGCGATATTGACTTACTTCATTTTTCCCGTGATTGATCATATTAACATATTTTCACTATATTGGCACTTTATAAATTTATAAACAACGTGATATTTGTAATAACGGATAATGGGATAAACTGGAGATTCAACATCTAACGGAGAGAAAATACATGGGATTCACCTGACAAGAATGTGGATGATAAGTGCAATGCTATATATACTGCTCATTTTGTGGGTTTAACGGGGGTATAACACCAGCCGTAGTTCGGATGTAGGGATTTATAATGTATCCAACAACCTGGGGGCTGAGTTTCTTTGGAAATAGGGATGACCATGGATCACCCCCAATTGCTAGCAATTTTTTGATACCATCAGACCTGGGGGTAGCCTGTTTTCAGACAAAGCCGTGACTATAATTTTTGCCGTTGCTGAGCCGTGAGCCCCCTTGGAAAAAGAAGATGATGTCAATTGATTTGGATATCCAACATCCCATTTGGGCCTGAAATGTAAAACCATGGATCATTGCCTATTCATTATCTATACAAGAAATCTTATGTGAATCTTGGGAGATGAAGTCAAAGTATCATGTTTATCCTGTCGGGGGGAAAACCGCGCCAGCGGTTGTGAGCGTTCTGAAAAAAATGTCGTTTTCGCCTTAGCGAATCTATTGATTCATTCCACAAAATAGGCTTTAAATTCCCCGGGGATTCGAAGTGCATTTTTGATTATGTCCTGTAATTTACATGGAATTTGCTCTTGAAAACTAGCGCGATGTTTTCCTCCTCTCACATCGCCATGCGCTTCTTCAAAGAGCGACCAGTGACCTCCAAAATGTTTTTTGATTTGGAGTTCATCCAACGCCTTTGCCACACCCTGATGCTCCGCATCAGTTTTGGGTTCACATGGCTGTTGACTCTGGTCGCAAGACTGCATGGTATGGCCGATTTTGACAGCCGCCACATCGCATCGACCCCACCTGTGTAAATTAAATAGTTCTGTTTCTAATTCGTTTCTTTATGCAAAACACCCCTTTAGAGTGGTTGCAAGCTTCATGGCGCCAACCAAACTTGAGACTTAAAGATGGATAGCATGGTGCCCCTTCGGAGATCAACATGTTTCTTTGGCCAGGGGACTGCTTCACAAAAATTAATGCTTGACGTGCTCGGATATGGGCAGCTGACGCAGGAGGCGGCTTTCCACCCCGTTTGGCACTGGCGACTTTGATGTCCCAGAAAAGAAACTTGCCTTTGTCATTTCGGTCTTGTGGTCTTTGAAAAAGACCAAATAGTTGCTAGCAATGATTTCTTCCATTGGAGCCTCCATGGGTTCCAGGAAGCATGGTGTGAATGCTTGCTTTGAATTATTTTCTATGCATTGGTATCAAAATATCATTGAATATATCTTTATAGAAACGATATGTTCCTTTTTATATCTTAGACATTACTGAAGAAGCTAGAACCTAGATCCTACATCCTAGAGACCCCTGAAACTGCTGGAACTTACCGACTCCTACGTCGTAAGACCCGTGGAACCTATACATCCTAGAAACCCGTGAGACGGTTGAAATTTACTACTACATCCTAAGACCTGTGGTACCTACATCTTAGAGACCCGTGAAGCTGGTTGAACCTACTCCTACATCTTAAAACTCGTGAAACTGCTGGAAACATAAATGGAACGATTAATTTACAGACCTGTGAAACTGCTGTGAACCCATTTCCTAGATCCTGCGCACTCCAGAGTACTGCTGGAAGCTTTTGTTTTGGTCCTGGAGCACGCGATCAATCCTCTCGGCCACCGCGCAAGAAACGATTTTGCAGGGACTCATGTTGTTTGTGATAGAATCTGGGCCATTCCTGAGCTTCCGCAACTGACACTTCTTTGAAATACCAACAAGCGGGGCGGTTGCCCATCTCATCTCTTTTCCAAAACTTTGAGCACACGAGGGCGCCTCGACCAGCCTTTTTTGATCGGGCACTCCAAATGTGAGGTCGAAGAGCTGTTCCGTGACGTGGACAGTTGCCAAACTTGAAGGATCGTGGAGCACGAGATCTCTCTTCCATGCCTCGGAGACGAGCACTGACAGGATTTACGTTGTTGGAAACAGGCATCTCTTCATCGTCAGATATGCGATCCTCCTGACGGTCATCAACTTGTGGATCTTCTTGGGACCATGGCGCGACCCCAGTATTGTAATCATCAGAATGCCGTGTCAAACTCAAATCATCATCAGAGAAAGTCTGGACGGAGACTTCCGGTTCATGCACCGACGGTCTCGCGGAGCCGCCAATGATGTGGAAGACGAAGCAGGTTCATGTAAAGTCTCAAATGTTTGCCGTGGTGGCGGGGTATATCTTCATCGTAAATTGTTTTAATTTCATTGAAATATGGTTCTTCTTCAAACTCCTTCCGAAACCAATCTTTGAACTTGCGGGTCGGCTGGCTGTCGAAGGAGGACACTGGGCTGGGCAGTCCTCCGGCCTCAATGTAGTCTAAATATCTCTGCACTGGAGTTTCTGCGGTAGCTCCTCCTTTTTTGCGGGGACGAAGCGGAGTGGACACTGAAGCAATGTCCTTATCCTCTGCAGTCTTGCGGCTGACAGAGATATCCGTTTCTTCTGAGACATGTTAGCTTCTCCAAGGCCTGCCAGCATCGTTCCTCCCATCCATGCCGGTCATCAAAATATGGCTGTGAAGAGCCCTGCCACTTTTATTTAACACTTCAGCCTTTGCTAGCACAGCAACAGCTAGGGGAACGTGCGGTAGAACAAAGCGCCATTCCTCTTTCAAGACCAGAATACCTTTGGTCAAGCTGTGCCAGTCATAGCTGCTCTGCATCATCGTCATGACATGTTTTGCGTTTGCATCCTGATGTTTTCTCAGGCAGGCAACTTCATGCAGGTCTTCCATCTCTTCGGTCGACGCATGGCTCCAGCTAGACAACAGAGGCATTGGCCACTCGCAAAAGTACGAGCAACGTAAGGGGCAAAACATGAACATCGGAATCCATGGTGAGAACGTATATACTTGATCCAATACACCGTGCAAGCGGATGGTTTTCCTCTAGAGTTGTCTTGGCCAAGTTCTGACAACTATATACATTTTGTTACATTTAATTGTTATGTAGTATGTGTGTTATATATATATATGTATGTTAAGGTATTTTATATTTGTTGATGTAATATAACATATATATGTATATTTTGAAGATAATCATTTAACTATGTGTATATATGTATATGTTTGTCATGTGATTTATCTGTGAAAACAAGGATATGCCACCAGAAATAGTATTGACTTTATATAATATAGATATTTGTGTTTTTTTGAAGAAATATCTATCTATCTACCTATCTATCTATCTACCTATCTATCTATCTATCTATCTAATTTATCTAATCTATCTATCTATCTAATCTAATCTAATCTAATCTAATCTAATCTAATCTATCTATCTATCTATCTATCTATCCATCCATCCATCTATCTATCTATCTATCTATCTATCTAGTCTGTCTATCTATCTATCTATCTATCTATCTAATTTATCTAATCTATCTATCTATCTATCTACCTACCTATCTATCTATCTATCTATCTAATTTATCTAATCTATCTATCTATCTAACCTAATCTAATCTAATCTAATCCAACCCAATCCAATCCAATCTAATCTAATCTAATCTAATCTATCTCTCTGTCTGTCTATCTATCTATCTATCTATCTATCTATCTTATCTATCTAATCTATCTAATCTATCTAATCTAATTTAATCTAATCTAATCTAATCTTATCTTATCTTATCTATCTTATCTATCTATCTGTCTATCTCTCTATCTCTCTATCTATCTATCTATCGATCTATCTATCTATCTATCTATCTAATCTATCTAATCTATCTAATCTATCTAATCTATCTAATCTATCTAATCTATCTAATCTATCTAATCTAATCTAATCTAATCTTATCTTATCTAATCTAATCTAATCTTCTCTTCTCTTATCTTATCTTATCTTATCTTATCTTATCTATCTATCTATCTGTCTATCTATCTATCTATCTATCTAATTTATCTAATCTATCTATCTATCTAATCTAATCTAATCCAATCCAATCCAATCCAATCCAATCTAATCTAATCTAATCTAATCTAATCTATCTATCTACCTATCTATCTATCTATCTATCTATGAAGCAGCCTTAGCATGTTTGTTTGGTACGGTTGGGCGTTCGGAACGCGCGTTTTAAAAACTCGCGTTCCAGAACGCGCGTTCTGAGTGAATCCTTCTTTTCCAACGAAATTTAACTTATTTCCTGGGCCTGGACACTGAAACCTTTTTCCCACCAAATAAAAAGGATTTTGAGAGCTCTTATGGGCTCAAAATGGTGTATGAAGCCACCAGAAAGTTGATCTTCCCAACTCCGGATCCTTTTTGGGTGAAGCAAAAAGGTTCTGGCCTCACCAGGCTTGTGGGGCAAGTTAGCTTTCCTTCCCGGATCCTTTTTTTCTCTGAAAGGAAAAAATTCTGACCTCTCTCACAAATTTTATCGTAGTGCTAGTAACAGAGGTCTAAGAAGATTTTGACACATTGTTGAAAAATTCCATGTAACACAGCGAATCCTTTTTGCAAGGAGCAAAAAAAGGATTGGGAGGCTTCTGGGATCCATAAAACATCATAAAACCACCCAGAACTTCCATTCCTCCTTATTTAAGGAATTCCTCCTTATTTAAGGAATTCCTCCTTAAAATTCCTCCTTAAATTAAGGTGGAATTTTTGAAAAATTCCTCCTTAAAATTCCTCCTTAAATTTTCAATTGCAAGGAGATCTTGCACCTCTTTCAGCAGGAGACTTGAAACCTCCTTATCCCAGATCCTGGCAGCAAACTTTTCACTTCAGCTCTGGAATCACTTGTGCTCGAAAACTTTGCAGAACACTCATGCCTATGGAATAAGGGTTGTGGCTTCCACCTTTCACAGCTCCTAAGTGAGCTAGGAAGCCACCAAAGTCTTCGTCTCGATATGTCCAACTGTCTGATGGACAAGAGTTCTGGAGCAATAAATCTAAGAAGCTGTGGTGCTTTGGTTTGATCTTCCAAGTATGGTCAGTCTCGTTTTCCAAGCTCTTGCACAACAGCAAAAACTTTCTGCCAGGCAGCAGCATTGACTGGTGATTCCATAGATTCTTGGACAAGAAAGAATAACATTGCCACAGTTCTGTGGCAGCCATCTTGATTGTATATTCAAACACATTGTCATCAGCCAAAAATTCATCGCAGATTTGTTTTGCAAGAGTAATCAACCCTCGAGCTTCTGCAGCTTTGGCTCGAAGTTTTGGACTTGAACTGGCTTTCTTTCTGATCATGAGGACTGTCAAAGTAGGAAGCCTGTTTTCCACACCTTCAGTCTTGTAGTAGCTTTGAATTCTGTGGAACAAGCTTTTCACCCTTTCTTTGACATTGTTGCCAGGCAAGTGATTTCCAGAGGCAATTAAATGGTGAAAAACATTGCCCATAAAATCTGCTGCCACGCCTAAGTCCACAATGTGAAGCCAGTCCAAAAGAAATTGTTTGCTTGTCAGTCCTGGTGTTTGAAACAATTCATTGATGTCAATGCCAGAATTGGAAATGGATTGCAACAAAGTGAAATGGTCCAAAGGATCAAATGCCTTGCAGCTTTCAAAGTTTCGAATTTCAATTGGTTTGCACAAGCACAAATGGCAGCATCCTTGTTTGTCTCGCCATCCAGGAAATTGGAAAACTTCTTTTCTCATGGCCCAATCACCTCTCACTTCAAGTAAAAAAGCAGTGAAAGGCAATGCCTTGCCATTGAATGTGCTTCGTTTTTTGTCGCCTGGGTGCCAAAAGCTGCCATCATGCCTTGCTGAAGGCCAAGTGCAATTGGCTAAGTGAATAAAAGACAAAGACAAAATTCCTAACATCTTCGACAAAGTTACTCCCTTGATGCACCAGTGCTTTGGAATACAGCACAAAGGGATTCGCAAAGTACCATTAGGTGGAAGTAAGCCAGGAAAATTCAATGAGATGCATTCCAAAGTTTGACTTCTGTCATAATTGTAAGGTGTGCCATCGATCCAAAGGCCAAGTCCTATGGCTTCTCGAACTTGGAACTGCATTTGCATGTTCGCCAAATGTTTTTTGCTGAGTTCACACATGCCACCAGTCTGCAGCAAGTCTTTCTTCTCAGAGCGCTTCGAGAAGACAAAATGAATCTCATGTGGCAAAAGAAAAGGTATCTTCTTCATCTCTTCTGCTTGTGTTTCAGGATTGTAGCAAGGGATCAATGCAATGTATTCATTGAACCACAGGCAGTTCTTCAACATTTTTCTTTTCATATCCCTTGCCAAATTCTTTTCCCAATTGGCTTGCTTCTCACCACTGCCAGATTTCTCTGCACCTTTGACCAAATCTTTCACACCAGCGGCTCCAGCTATTTGTGCATCTTTCATGAGCTCATTGGCTCTTCTAGCAGAGACAGTCTTGGTCAAAAACAAATTGGACACATTGTGTCGAAACCTCTTCTGGTCAGGTTCCCTAAGGGTAGACAAATCTACCTTTCTCTTGTGAAACATGGCTTGAGCTGGAAAACATGTCAACATAAAAGTTCATAAGATCTCAGAAGACAAGAAGTTACACATTGTATTTAGTTAATGCTAAATTTGGCCAATGCTTTGAAACAGGGAAACAGTAAAGGAGATCTTACACCTCCTTGAGTCTTGTACACCAGCTTAGAAGCAGGCTCTTTTTCCAGCGACAGTTACCAGCTGCGCATCTTCCAAGCAGATCCCTGCGATATTTTAATCTGCATTTCCACATTCCAAAACTGACAACTGCACCAAATGCGCTTTCCAAAATCTAAGGGCCAAACAGCTCCTACAGCAATGCCTGGTGAGTTTTCACCTTGGCTTTTGCTTCTTGCAGCTTCTCTTGGCTGGAAGCAAGCCATGCTTTGGCAGCAGGCAATGATTTCGAAAGGCTTTCAGGAGAAGTGTCCTCAGGAGCAAGATCTTCACTGGCTGCGACATAGGATCGAAGGTTGGCAATGGCTTTCAACTGCTCTTGACACCAAGTCTGAAGACCTTTGCCTTTGGCATGGAAGCTTGGGTCACCTTTGATTTCCAAACGACAGGCCAGGTCCTGGGCCTTGGCAAGCTCCTTCTCCCAGGCATTCTTGCAGGAATTCAGACTGTTGCACACATTCTGAAACTCCTTCAAAGGCTTACTGACCCCCTTGTCATCCAAAGCCTGGCCTGAGATCTGCTTGTCCATTGGGTCCACAGGGTTCTTCTCAATGGTGGCCAGTGGCTGCTTCCTCCATGGAGGCAGTTCCTTTGGAGGTTCCATTGAACCTTTCACTGAAAACTGAAAAGTGTAATGATGAAGTAAGTTGTGATGTCTATGAATCTCCAGTTCCAAATCCGATGGTTTCTATTTTGGATCCAAAGTGATTTTTATTGGAGGTTAAAATTGGTTAAAATTAAAATTGCCAATTTTAATTTTAACCTATCCTGCCTTTAAAAGTAATACATAAACTGGTTAAAATTAAAATTGGCAATTTTAATTTTAACCAATTTTAACCTCCTTATTTTTCCAATTTGAAACCTTTACAGTCATCATGCATGACCTGAGTGAATTGTATCCAGAGTTGCCAAGAGCCACTCAAACAAAGGAAATGGATGGGCATCAGCTTCGGCCAAGGAGATCTTGCACCTCCTTTTTGATTCCAGTATTGGACACTAGTGCAATGATTGTGATACCTCAGGTTCAGATCATCAGCTCTCATCATCATTCCAAAGCTGATCATGTGCATCCATCAAGGCTTCAAAAATGATTCTACAGGTCCATCACAACTACATTGATCAATATGACTCGACAGCTTCAGCCATGCAGAAATGCTCATATCACAGATATCATGTTTTACTTAAATTTAAATTTAGTTTATCAAGGAGATCTGGCACCTCCTTAAAGAGTCGCTTGCGCCCATAATCTCCAATCATTTTTCCAGGGAAGCTCAATTGACTCAATCTACATTTGAATCCTCATCCTCTTTTGATTTTTCGGCTTGCTCTCCAGCATCAATAGGTGATGTAGGAGAATATGGGGTTACAGCAGGACCTGATCAGGAGGCATGATGATGAACATATTGCACAGTGCATGGTTGACATGAGATGCTTTCAAATCCACAGTCACAGAAAACTCCAGCCTGTGTAGATCATTCCTTCATCCAGGAAATGTTCTCAAGTAGCTTGTAGAAGGCGAGGTGGCAGGCGCTGGGGTACTTGGAGGGGGCATTGGAAGGGGCATTGGAGAAGCACCTGGAGGGTCATGAGAACTTGGAGGGGCACCTGGAATAGGTGCTGGAGGAGGTGTATTTGGAGGTGGTAGAGGTTGCGATTGGGCATTGACATGAGGTGTCAATGCCTGGATCACCTGGTTTTGTAGCCTGATCAGCTCCAAAACACGGTCAATCTCCTCATCTCCAGGCCTCCTGCGAGAGGAACTTGATTGTCCAGCTCCCATAGCAACAGCAAGAAAAAATATCGATCACTGAAACAGGAGCTAGAAAGCCAAAGCAGCTTCAGTTGCAAAATCCATTCTCAACACTGCAATTGCCATGCCAAAACAATTTCAACATTCCAAATTCCAGACAAAACTTCTCAAATCCAGAATTCCAATCCAACATTAAACATTAAAGCCACATCCTATGAAAGTCTATAAGCCATTTTTGAAATCCACCCAGGCAGTAAACTCTCAAGTTCCAAATGTCAGGAGATCTTGCACCTCCTTAAGACAGAAAAGTGGAAAGACTATTTCCTATTTTCCTATTGAGAACTCTCAGGAGGTTTTACACCTCCTTGAAACATGCAACAGAAATCAGCAGCCATTTTTTTGCAATTTCATCCAATCTAATCCACATCCTGTCCAACCTTCCACTTTCGAATTTCCTCATTCAAAAATTCAATCACAGATTGTTCAGTAGCACCATTGTGCAAATCAGCAATGCATTTCTGGGCCAAATCCAAGCCAACTTCTCTTGAAGTTTTGTTCAAAGTGAAAGATTTGATTTGTTTCTTGTCTCCAAAATTTCGTCTGACACCTAAAGCACCATACTTTCGACTGCCTTTGGCAGGATAATCTTCCAAGCGATATTCAGGAGATGCCAAGTCAACAGCAGCAGGTTCAGGATCAGCAACTGCAACAGCCGGCCGAGCTTCAACATCCTCTTCTTCAGAAGTGCCAAGTACTGCTTCACATGCAGCACGCTTTTTCAAGATTGCAGCAGGCCTTTTCAAGACTGCAGCAGGCCTTTTCAAGACTGCAGCAGGCCTTTTCAAGACTGCAGCAGGCTTTTTCCCACCTGCAGATTGCCTATAGATCTTCAAAGATTCATTGGGAATTTCAGATTCAAATTTGTTTTCACCAAAAGCAGCAATGGCGAAGCCATTTGGTCCTTCACTCATAGTAGCTTTCTCCACCTTGCTATCCACAAAGCGACATACCACCATGGCAGTAGAATCGATCCAGGTTCCAACACTCACAGGCTTCTTAGGACTCGCTTGGCTCTCTTCACTCGACACTTCTATCAATTGATGCTCTTGGCTATCCAATGTTTCTGAGCTGTGGCCTGGAGGAAATTTTTGCAAAAGTGGTTCATTCACAGGCAACTGTGGGATGGAGCTCGCATTGGAACTTTGTCTCATGAGCCTTCGCTTGGCAATGGCTTTCTGAACAAACTTGCCTTTCTGCCGGTTCCCATGGAATTCTGAGCACTCCAGATAGATCTTCACAAGCTCACCCATCCAAGGCTCATATTTCTTACTTGAAATTGACCATTTTGCTTTTGTTCTGATGTGTTGCACACATTCGACAATTGCAGAAGACCACTTCTTCGCTTCGTCACTCAAAGTGCGAGGGTTGACTTTCAAGGCAGCTTCCTTCAAGCAGTCTTTGGATGGTCGAATTGTTTTCTGGAACATCAAGCCCAGAAATTTTCGATAATGCTTGCAAACTTGATCAATTTCAACATCCAAGTACTCCTTGGGATCCAAACAAGCCACCTCTGCTTTCAAACATGTGCAAAGGTCTTGAACAGAAGCAGTGTTCTTAGCTCTATTCATCTTGAGAAATCAACTGCAGATGCGATGCAGAAACAGTACATGCAGGAAATCAAAACACCAAAAGGAGATCTTGCATCTCCTTGAAGCAACCTCCAAAGGTTGGTCTTGATGCAATGATGATGTCAAAGATGTATCTAAAAACAGTGAAAAAAATCCTCCTTAAAAAAAGATTAAGGAGGAATTTTCCAAAAAAAAACACCTTAATTAAGGAGAATTCCTCCTTAATTAAGGTGGAATTCCTTAATTAAGGAAAAATTCCTCCTTAATTAAGGGAATTCCTCCTTAATTAAGGTGGAATTCCTTTAAAAAAAAACTCCTTAAATTAAATAAGGAGGAATGGAAGTTCTGGGGACATAAGTGGGCAACCTCCGCGCGATCTCCTCCAAAAACTTGAGGCTCATCAGGGGAAAAAGTTGCTCCTCCTGCTCGAAGAATCGACAGCGAACTGCGATGTGCGATGTGGACCTCCATCATGATCTCTTCCTGCAATCGATGTCGTTTGAGACCCCGTTTCAGCAAGCCCTTCCACGGGACAGCCTCACGTTGCCAGAAATCGATCATATCCGTGAGGTCTCCCTCCGGTCGAGCTGGGAGCACTCCTGGAACAAGTGCATCAAGCCAGTCAAGATCTGCACGAAGTGCTGAGATCCAAGATGAAGGACAGCATTGCTGCTCGATGTGGAGAATCTGCTGTAGTTCAGCTGGGCCAACCTGAAAAACCCTTCTCGCATAAGCCAGTCTGTCAATTGCTATTCTCGCACGAACATCCACCACTCTGGCTCGAGTCAGGAGCTGCTGTGTCGTGACTTGTTCATCAGCTGCAAGGCGTAGAGTCTTCCTCAGCATCCCATGGTATGTAGTACGCAGGCGCTGCATCTGGCGTCCAGAAGGTGTATCCCAGGAGCCTAATCCATAGAAAAGCTTAGAGAACACCAGTGATTGCAGGAATTGGATCCGAAGTTGGACTGGAAAATGACGGTTGCACAGCACCATTCGAGACAGCTTGCTGAAGGTCGCCTTTGACATGCCGACTCGTTGGCGCAGCTCAGGCTCGCATGAATGGCTAGCCGCGAACTGTGCACCCAAATGTTTGTAAGTATTGGTAAAACTGAGCCAGGCGGTTTGGTCAGCATCTACCGCAATAGCAATTCCTGCAGTGGGCCCTAGCAGGTGTTGCCTTCGAAGTGCAGGAGCATCTCTACCCACAAAGGAAACCACAGCGCTCGTCTTGCCAGGGGTGAAGTTGACAGTAAATCCCCTTCTCTTGAATTGTCGCGTGACTTCAGCAGCTAGATCAGCAAGTCTGGGCAACAAAGAAGAGGCTGTCAAGGTTGCAATTGGAACTGCCAGGTCATCTGACCAGATCACCATCACTGGCTGTAGATGTAGGCTCGCCATGAGGCTGACAATGTCCTCCTGTTGTGATAGCCAAGTGCGGAGATCCCCGACAATGGAGGCCATCAGCACATGAAAGATTGCGTCAGCTAACGGTGAGCCCGGGCGAGTTCCTCTCTTTGTCCAAATCATCTGCTGGTTGTTGCCGGCTAAGACAAACCAGGTATGAGCATGGATGTCACGCAAAAGTCGCAGAAGAAGAGGGTCAATGCCATGTTCGGCCAGAAGTCCTATCAGTGCCTTCCCATGAAATTCCGCATCCAATGGTGTGCCAGAATGATGAAGTGCACGAAGAACATCTTGAAAGGCCGTGGCAGAAGTGGCTCCCGTAACCAGTTCCCTGATCAGATGATGAAAGGCTGTCGACAGGTCGACGTAGAGGACCGCCGATGACCACCCACGGGCAGCAAAGACCTTGGTGAGCGTTCTGATAGTCTGCGCTCCAAAGGCCACTTGTTGTCCTGGATAACCGCCCATTTGCCCTGGATCTCTCTTCAAGGCGACTTGGCTCATCAAGCGACCTCTCACCAGCGCATGTACGCGCTTCGCCAAAGTCGGTAGGAGCAATATACCTCTAAAACTCTGCGGCTCAAGCGCACCTAGTTTTTTGGGTATCATCCGCGGGATCCCTCCTTTGTTTTGAATCGGTTCCATACCCCACAAGAAGGTCTTGATGAGGACTTGGTAATAAAAATCAGCAAGGAATGCGGCATTCTTGTGGTAGATGGCGGATGGAACACAGTCGAACCCAGTCGCACGATCCATACAGGTGTCTCGCAGGGCCGCCTCAAACTCAAATCTCGTAGGTAAGCTGTGCAGATCAACTTGTTGAGGGGCTCCAGGTTGTTCAGCCTGTTGGTGAGCGATGCATTGGGTCGCCAGGTCATCCGGCGTCTCATCAACGCCGAGTTCCAGTTGACGGAAATGATCCAAGCATGATTGATCAAGAAAACCCAGGGCGTGAGGGTCATATCCACTGCGTCTAACTTGGAATTTGGGGATCGACCGCCTGATCACTGCCCAGAGCTTTTTGACTTGGGTTGGCGCAAGGAACTCAGCCCCATCTTGTAGAAGTCCTGCAAAGAAGTTCTTGTCATCTGATCGCATAGATCTCGTGACACTCCTCCCCAATTGCTGGAAGTTCCACAGGGCTTTAGCGATGAGCTTGTCCTGCGCTGCCAACAGGTTGTTGACTTCAGTGTTCACCTGCGCTCTACTCCTCTTCCATCTTCCAAAGACATACTCCATGATAGTGGTGCGCTGAATCCTGTTGTACTCCGCCAGAGTTTTCCTCCACGTGCGCTTCTCACATACCAATGCCCAAGTTGATGCTGACATAGTCTCCTTCATCGGCCTGGCAGCCCTGTGGCGCCTTTGGAGTGGCTGCAGGTGCTTGACTAGGCATCCCTGCAGATGATGCAGGTGTGAGTGGACATCCATGGTGGCTGGAAAGCTCGTAGTCAGTCCTTGCCAGTCAACTTCACAATCATCAATGACCAATTTTTGATGCGGCTGTTTGACCTCAGACTTCAAAGGGTAAGCTGCTAAGAATTTGACCTCAGCACATGCTGCTGCATGGTCGTTGCGAACCAATGTCGGGTCAATGATCGTGCTGATCCATGAAGTGCAGGATTGAGCGCGCCAAGCCATAGGAATGCAGACATAGTCCAAGCGCTTCTTCTTTCCAGAAGTGTGCTCCCATGTCATACCTTCGCCACGCTGATGCTCTGCAAATGTTGAAGGTATCCAAAGCTCGTTGCGCGCAATGAAACTTTCAAAGGCAACCGCCTTGTCATCCTGCTTAGAGGCTTGATGGTCTCCTATGTGCGGAGATGTCTCAGCTCCGACTGCTGCGTTGGCATCACATAGAAGGATCATTGGCCGCTTTGCATAGGCTTGTGGGACTGCAGCATGGAGTTGCTCCCACCATGACTCAATGATGTCCATCTCATTACCAGTGTGGGGCGCATGCCCTGCAACCAACACTGCTCGAAGATGAGGTGTGTCGATCTTCAAAATGAGAAATCGTGGGTCAAAGGCCAAAATCTTGAAGTGCTCCTTCTTGAAGAAGACAGGTCGTCGGCGTTGAGTGCGTGGGCACCAAACTGAGCCGTAAGGGATCCTCTTGGCCAAGCCGGCAATGATGCCAAAGTGCCCTTGAGTTGTTGCAGCTGCCTTGAAGAGAAAGTAATCCTCATCATACCCACAGTGCAATTTCCTCAGCCTCGTTTCTTGGAGTCCAAAAATCATAATCTTCTCTTCCGCCAGCTGTGAAAACAGTGCTCTCTGTCTCGAGAGGCCTGCCATAGAAGTGTCATCTTCAGAGCTCCCTTTAAGCGAAAGCACGTTGCAAGTAGCCATCCTCAGCGAGATCTCAGCTACCTGCATCTCATCTTCTTCACTTTTCTGCAGTGGATCGCTGACAGGAAGGAGATTACGTGCCGGCATGGTCATTGGCCCTGGATGGTGCAGCACATGTCCTTTCCACATTCCAGCATATTCTCTGGCAAAAAGGGCCCACATCCAATCCAGCGCATCCACAAACTCCTTCTTGGTGACGGCATGAATCCAATCATCAAATGGTGCCACATGGTTGCCCTCTCTTGCCGCACTGGCCAGGGTATCCACGAGCTCATTGCCAGGTTCGCCGGAATGGCCAGGGATATGCACATAGTTCAGCTTGGTCTGGAATCGCGTTTCCACCAAGAGGATAATGCCTCGTAGAGCTCGTCCGATCACGGGTTGAGCTGCACAGCGCCAAGCGTCCAGCAGTCAGAGCATCGTAGCACAGTGTCACTGTAGGTGCCCAGGCAAAGAGCGCAGTGTGGATCTTCAGGATGTCATACGCCATCTTTGCCGCAACTGTAATTCCCAACAGCTCTGCGACGTATGCATTATGTGCCAACAATAGTGGGCTGCTCATAGCTCCAGCAAAGCACCAACCTTGTTCGGTCCGAACAAATGCTGCAACCGCAGCAGCGGCATTGTTGGAACCATAGGAACCATCGGTGTAAATGTGGATCTCAATGCAGGGCGTTGAATAGTCCCACCAAGTTGTAGTCCACGGCCAAGCTGGATGTGTCTCGTAGAGAAGGGGGAGATCAAAACAAGGCAAAAACAGGTGAGAATCAAACCAGTCGAATGCCTTTGCCACTGACGTAAAGTCAATGTTCTGCCTGGTTTGCAGGCTTGCGGCTCTTTGTAAAAAGTCAGTGGCATCTGTCTCTCCCTCAATAACGCTCATGTCATCCTCCCAGAAGTTGTCAGGCAAATTTCTCTGAATGTAGAGGTTAATAACCATGGCGATTGGCAAAGCGCTCGCCGTCTCGCACCTCATGGTCATCATACCAGCAGCTACAAGCAGTGTCCGGACGTGCTGGTGGGCAAACTCTGTCTTTACCCATACAGCGGAGAATATCAATTTTTGTCACCGCTGAGGGGAGTAATACCGCTGCTGTGTACGGGGCGCCCTGGAGCACTCCGTTGTCCATGGAGGTGACAAGGCTGGGATGCTCGAAGGCTGCAATGTTCTGGTAAATGATGATGTGCACCTCTTCAATCGCATTCGCACTAGGTGGAGCAGGGTTCACAATGACAAAGTCAATCTCGACTCCGTCCAGGACATAGTCTCTCCACCGGTGGATGATCGCACCTTCCCACAGCCAAAAGTCGTTGCCGAGGACCACATTCCGGCACTCATCATGAAAAGGGATATAGCGTCCCTCAAGGTACCACGTTCGGACCGTCAGAAGTCGCTCAATGTGGGCAGGTCCAATGACTGCTCTTTCATCCCATATTCCATGAAGACGACGTGTAAATGGAGATTCACCTGCAATAGGTGGCTGTGCTACCGCTTCTTCCAACGGGCCTTCTTCAGCAGCAGGTTGAACTAACGGTGAAGTCACAACATGTTCGTCCAAAATGTGCAGTTCTCTGGGAAGCGGATGTGCTGAGAAGACGAGCCCCATTCCAGGACGAACTGGTCGAGCTTCGAAAGGATCCCATTCTTCATCAGCATATCTCAACGTGCACCTTCGATCAATGCAGAGCCTAGACAATCGAAGAAGATCACGGACTTGAACAGTTGCCACTGGCGTAGGAAGTAGTGCAGCTGCAAAGGCTATTCTTCGCGTTGTTTCGTGCAGGAACTCGATCGTGATCAAAGCAGGCACCAGATCAATCCTGGGTTCTTGCCAAAGGATGAGATGTCCAATACGATCCCTGGTAGCGGTTGATTCTGGAGTCGGCTGAACCCAGAGGAAACGAAGAGGCAGTGTCCTGTCAATCCTGTCATTCCATAGATCCGTGATATCTTCCTGCCACCATTGCTGCTCCTGTGTCAGCCTCATTGTTCGCGACTGTTCCGTGACGTATGCTGCTAATCCACGGACATACCAGGTTTCAAGGTATGTAACTGGACCTTCCTCCTCTTGTTCTATGCAAGCGGATTGACTGAAGGCTTCCCAGAGCGCAGCGTGCCACGAGGCAAATGGAGCTTCTGGGTGGTCAGCGGGTCGCTCCCTGAAGGCCCCCGGCGCCACGCAATTGAAACGTGGTACTGCAGCGTCACCATCACTTCGGAATGAGACGAACATAGGCTTGGAAGCATGTAGCTGAACAAGAGAGGCGGCCTCATGGGGTTGCGCTGCATCAATCTCGGAATACAGGCTATCAGTATCCTCCCCTCTCTGTTGGTACCTCTTCCTGGTTTGTCGTGGTGACAATCCAGCTTGGCCACATCGTACTGCAAGCCTTGTTGGGACCTCTTCGAACTGAAATGGGGGAATCGCTACCCGAATGTAGTTCCCATGTGACAGATGCATGGGTGCGGGTGATCTCAAAGCAACAAGACGCCCTTGATGCCAAACAAGGCAGCGGTTTCTGCTGCCCTCACAATATCGATCAACTCTGATCCATTCCAGAAATTGCTTCCTGTGGATAGGGCTCGGAATTTTCGCCACAAAGCGGTCTGTCACCACAGGTGAATCAAACGAAGGCCCATGGTACTCGACATCGACCATGACTGCATTTCGATGGTCACCGTCCTCAAAGTCATCGTGGCGTAGAGTGAGCAAAGGCGTAACCGCAATTCTCAATAGATCCTCTGGAGCTGGAGCTATCTGGACAATGCGGGCAACGTCATGGTGCATCATGCCAATCAGCCTTCTCACATGTCCAAAGAATGCTTCGTAGGGATGAAAAGGTACACGACCTCTTGCGGAATTCGTCCTGGTGTCATAGACCGCAACGGAATGCCATGGAAGTGGATAATGATGAGTGGAGTCCGGTGAAAACGACATCTCAGTTTCAAACGATGGTGAATGTTCCTCGTTGTCATCATGTGGTTCTGGTAGTTGTTGGTCAGGATCATCATCCTGGCGTGCAATACCATGGTCCATCATGATGTTGGGGTCCTGTGCATGAGGGTGATGGTGGACTGTAGCCATAAAACTCGTCACCTCATCATCAAAGTCAAACTTGAAATTGGCTTTTCGCAGTGTTGGGATCCTCCCATCAACTTCATCAGGAACAGCCTCATTGAGAGCATCAAAACGCACCGTCTTCGCAGTGCTTTTTCTCCCTTCTCTCAAAAGGCATGAAGTCAACCTGTCGGAACCCTTATAACTGCAATTCATATAGACCGGAGGTCATCAAAGAGGATATTCTCACCGTGCAAGGCCGTTGCATTGTGCAGGGCGTTGAAGGTGTCCATGAAATTCTCCTCATACCGAATAGAATGGGTGGCATACCAAAATTCATGAAGTGACCCAAGAGGTTGCTGAATGCGTGCTGCACACCCTTCCTCAGATAGGGCATAGGCCTCAGCATAAGCACCTCCTCCAGGGTCGAATCTTTCAGGCGCACGGATGTAGTTCCGCGGACACTGCAAACCGTCGCCTATCTTCACGATGTAGCTGGCGCAGTAGAGCCACCACCAGCTGGTTTGCCTCCAAAAGGTTCGAGGGATCTTGGGCGTTTCTTGGGCATAGCTTCTTCTCCCTCCGAACTGTGCATCCCCTCCTCGTCTTTGTCGTTTTCTTGGATCTCCTGTTTGGTCATTTTCGCACAGCGTTCTAGTAGATCTTGAACTTGTCCCACCAGCACTGCTGCTTCTTCGTCCTTGCCCAGCACATCCTCTGGTGTGGTAAGATCTATGCTCTCCTCTACCTTGGTCGCCTTGCCAGCTCGGTAGTTGAGCCTCTGTGTCTCGATTCTGGCTGCTTCGAGCTCTGACTGGGCTTTGGTCATGAGCTCGTGATAAGTCTTCTGCTGGGTGACATAGGCCTGCACTTGGCTCTCCCATGATTGCAGGGCCTCCTTGAGGTGCTTCACCCATGCAGCTCGATGTCGTTCCTGCATCTCTTTGAGCTCGGCCAACTGTTGGGCAATTTCTCCAACTCGTTTGGATGCCTTGGTGAGCTCTGTCGCAATCTGCTTGGAGTTGAGAGCTTCGGCTTTCTGCACGGCCTCCTTGATTTCGGGCGGTGCATCCGCTAAGTCTGCGTAGTGTTTCCGCACTGCTCCAAGAAGTTCGGCTCCCGCATTGAGAACGCTGCCTGAAGACGATTGCTCCTTGTTGGGCGGTAGCGGAACCTGAGTAGGCTTCGATGCCGTCGAGGACGTAGTCTCTGTAGCAGGCCAAGGTGTCGCAAATGGGGCGAAGGGTGAGGTCTGTGCATCCTTTTTCCCTTTCTTCCCTTTGCCTTTCTTCTGACGTGGGCTGGCACTTGGTTTGCGCCCCCTGGGGGTCGACCCACGTTGTCTCCCTCGGCTCTGTCCACGATAGTACTGCTCCCAGTTGTCCTTGTTCTGGAAGTTCTCCTCCTCGTTGGTGTAGTGGCGCTCTCCTGTAGTCCAATGCTTGCGGCAATTGGGACACCACTCGTGTGACTTGCGGTTCAGTCGCCCGCACCAACAACGCCAAGGGAAAGACTCTGCTTTTGACGCCATTGCGAGATTGATGGCTCGAAGAAAGCCGTCGTCCTTTGAATGATGGGCTGCAATCAGCTTCTTGATGCGCTCCAGGTCGATCTCGTCCAAGTGAATAGCTCCTCGCTTGAAGAGATGCCAACGGGCCCGAGCTGCTGCTCTCGCCCTTCTCAGCCGCCTCCGAAGTGTGATAGTCGAAGGTGCAATGGTTGGCGATAATGAGGGTGCCAATGAGCCCCCAAAGTCGCATAGAGGTCCTCAGTCACGTAGGGACGCCGAAGTCCTCCAAGTCAAGGTGCACAAAGTCGAGAAATGCCAGAGCCCGACCTTGTGCAAGTAGATTCCGGAGAAGCGCAGCACCAGTGAGCCCGAGCTTGATGAGGTAGAACAAGTGCAGCACAGCACCAGTCGCCCCAGCAGCGCAGGGAGTGAGCCCGACCGTGTCCGAGTAGAATCAGAAGACACGAAACACGGGAAAGGCAGATAGCCCGCGGGATACCCGCTAAGATCACGGCTAAACAGGGCAGAGGGGGGTACCTCTAACCTTGTCGCAGGGCCGAAACCTTTTACATTCGCCATTATTTAACAACAATCAATCAGCCATTCTTATTGGCTTATATCCCCAGATACGGCAAGTGAATATCACCACTTTTGTTGATTCAACTGCAAATTTCACCATCACTGCTGGTTGAAATCCTTAAACTTCGTTGCAATCTTACTCATATGTGTACTGCAAAAAAATATATACATTGCTTCATGGTTGAATCATCATCTAACCATCAGTCCTTCATGGCATCAACTGTACCATGACTACATACCCAGTTTTTAGTGCTTCAATCATGGCAAACGACATTTCTTTCAAGCTTGTACGTCCCCCTTCAGGTAAACAACATTATAACTATTCACTATAACTATTTTTGTTGGTGAATCTCCAAGTGTTCTTACTTCAAGCAGCATGTTTCTACAAGTTAAACATGGATAAACCACCATTTTTCTACAGGTTCTCCCAGTTGGTTCTCAGGCACCGGGTATCGCCTTGAGCCGTTCCAGGCGTTGCTGTTGCTCGGCCGCACGCAGCTGACGTTCCGCCTCCTCCCTGGGAGCGAAGGCGCAGCGGTCAAACGGTAAAGGTCATATATATGGATATATATATATGGATGTATATGGATGGTTAACCAACCCACTAGAAATGGAGGTTTTATATGGTTTTATGGGAAAATCATGGGAAGATATGGTTTACCCTCTGGTAAACAAACATAGCTATTGAAAATGACCATAGAAATAGTTGGTTTACCCATAAAAATGACCATGTGGTTTATTAATATGGTAATATAAATAGTAATGACCGTATAATAAGAGTAATATCATATGTCCGTAGAAACATTGTTATGGTAAGGGTAACCCTCTGGTAAACAAACATAGGACATATCCACTAGAAATGGAGGTTTTATATGGTTTTATGGGAAAATCATGGGAATATATGGGGATACCCACTGGTTATGGCTGACATAGCCATGGTATAGATGGCCCACTGCAATAGATGTTTTTTGATGATTTACCGTTTTTAAAAATGACAATTTGCAATGGCTATGTTAAATAACCAGAGGGTAATGTTTGCAACATGTGGTTTATTAAGAATGTATATAGAGTTTAATTAAGGAGTGTTTACAAACAATAAACCATATTCTTAAACAGTTTGTATTGCAATAATTAAGAATGGAAAATGGCAATATACCATTAATATGGAATTAACAATATTAACAGCTAACTTAACTGTTGGGTTGGTTTAAGGGAAATCTTAACCGGAACGATGGCCGATTGTTTTTCCCACCAAACATTGTTTTTTTCCTATATAGATGTTCCCTTACAATCCAACGATATATGAAAAAATATGTTATGTTTGCACCGCACTAGCTAACAATATGCTTATAACATGTTATTTTTTTTATTATTGCTGTTACTATATGTTATTATATGGTACAGTGTTAGAATGTTTTATCTTATGGTTAGTGTGTTGTTGTTATATAGTAATATTATGGTCATTATATGGCTATTGTTATATAGGATATATATATATATATATCCATAGCTGGGATGATTAATTAACTTATTTTGACACATGGTTTTTATATGAAAACCAGTAATACCCACGGTTAGTGAAATACCTAAGGCAAAAAATAAAAATAAACTGTATGGTACAAATGAAAAATGATCAAAATGAATGTTTTTTTAGGGATAGTAGTTAAACTACAGTTCATTCATCTTGTTTTGGAGGGATAGTATTGGTTCGGTATGGTTATGGGTTTTAAACATGTCCAGGAAAATATCTATCAGTAATTTTAAACATTGATTTGTTTGGGAAAGTTATTTTTGAGAACAAGTGCATTCTACCAATGATCTCTTCAGCTAACCGTCATACTGTTCCCCATTGTTCCGAGATCACTTCCTTCAGCTTCCAGATTGACAAGATCTGCTTCTCCTGAATCCACGGACAACACACGGTTTCTCCTTCATTGCAACCAGATCTTGAAGGCGAAAAAGATCAAAGTTCGCCCGCGGGCCGCTATGGCGAGTGAGCCCGCTAAGGAATTGACCGGGGGGCACCCTTGGAGTCGCTGGTTAGCCCCCCTAAGCTGACGATTTGGCTCAAAAGCTCCTTGGACGCCTTTGTCGGGTAGTGGTACCTCATGAAGGCAGAATCCGAAGGACTGTCCACGAAGGTGTGCATTGCAAGCCTGCGCTCTCGCCTGTAGGCCGCATCCACCTCGGTCTGACTCTGGTCAGTCTCCATTGTCATCAGCAGCACATCCATCTCCACATTCCGCAACACGTCTGCCTCGCGTGCAATACGGTTGGCCGCCGCGTAAAGCACGCTCTCGCCAACACGGCGAAGGGCCGGATTCATCCAACCACCCATCAGCAAGAAGACGATGGACCTCTCAACCAGCGTCGCATCTGCCGTCTCTGTTTTCAGAGCCCTGCTAGAGACCAACAGGGACACCAGCCTCGCTGGTTCCAAGGTCGGAATCAGCATTCTCGACCCTTCCTATCTCTCTATCTCTCTATCCACCTATCTATCTATCTATCTATCAATCTATCAATCTATCAATTCTATCAATCTATCAATCTATCAATCTATCAATCTATCTGTCTATCTGTCTATCTATCTATCTATCGATCGATCGATCGATCTATCTATCTATCGATCTATCGATCTTTCGATCTATCAATCTATCGATCTTTCGATCTACCGATCTATCTATCGATCGATCGATCTATCTATCTATCAATCTATCAATTCTATCAATTCTATCATTCTATCTATCTATCAATCTATCAATCTATCTATCAATCTATCTGTCTATCTATCTATCTATCTATTTATCTATTTATCTATCTATCTATCTATCTATCTATCTATCCTATCTATCTATCTATCTATCTATCTATCTATCTATCTATCTATCTATCTATCTATCTATCTATCTATCTATCTATCTATCTATCTAATCTATCTATCTATCTATCTAGATAGCTATCTATCTGTCTTTCCATCCATTTATCTATTACTATCTATCTATCCATCCATCTATCTATCTATCTATCCATCTATCTATCTAGCTATCTATCTCATCTGTCTACCTAACTGTGTATCTAGCAATCTACCCATCTACCTATCTGTCTATCCCTCTGTCTGTCTGTCTGTCTGTCTATCTACCTGTCTATCTGCCAGCTTGAAAACCATGCTATTCTGCGAGACTATCTCATTTTCGAAGTTGACAACATCAAAAACGCAGCAATTGTGCGAGACTTCTTCATTTTTTGAACTGAACAACATCCAAAACGAAGTAATTCTGCGAGACTTCTTCAATCTTTGAATTTGACAACATCAAAAACAAAGCAATTCTGCGAGACTTCCTTCAAAAATCGAAAGTTGAGTGCAGCGCTGACGGCCTCGTACCAATGCGTTTTGCGATTTTTCCACTCCACCTGTCTAAAGTACTGCGCCTGCCCCGAAAAATTGAAGACAGGTCATACGAAGTGTTGCACCTGTCACGCAAAATCATCTTAGCAAACCTACAGATCTGATGCTCCAAAATGCAACCCCTCTCAGGAAATCAGCGCCCTGACCTCCTAACATGTCTGATGAACATGTCTTTTGTACTGCGCCTGCCACGCGAAATGCATCTTTGAAGATGCCTGCCATCGTTTTTGGAAATGCTACAAAACCCTCACGAGTTTTGCTTACTTTTGACAAAGTGCACAATCCTTTGCGCCTGCCACGCGAAAGCACATCTGAACGTCCAAAAGTGCTCCGTACCCCTCAGCTTTTTCCACTTTTGACTTCGAAATGTGCTTCGCGCCACAACAGCGTGCACTTTTTCGACACCTCAACTTCCAAAAGTGGTCCGAACATGGTGTGTTTTGCACATTTTGACTTCGAAATGTGCTTCGCCACAACAGCGTGCACTTTTTCGACCTCAACTTCCAAAAGTGGTCCGAACCCCTTGTGTTTTTACATTTTGACTTGGGAATGTGCTTCGCGCCACAACGGCATGCACTTTTTCGACGCCTCAACTTCCAAAAGTGGTCCGAACGTGGTGTTTTTATCAGCATTTTGACTTGGAAATGTGCTTCGCGCCACAACGGCGTGCACTTTTTCATCTCTCATCTGACCAGCTGGCTCTGCACCCGCCGCTTTAGCGAGCCTACTTTTCGACCCTCCGGAGCCACAAATCATTGGAAAAACACAGTGTTTCGCGACTTTCCTACCTTTTCGCGCGTCTGCCTCTTCTTTCATCTACCTCTTTCTCTTCTCTGATCTTCTCTCTTCTACTCTTCTCTTCTCTCTGACTCTGCCCATCTCTGCTTTTCATCTGTCCATATTGTCGGAAGTTTGACTTCTAAACTTCCTTCGATGATAACACATAATATTGGTACCCACCGCCAATTGATAAACGGTCATGGATCATGGTTTATGTAATAAACCCAATGCCATAAACCATCCCCGAGTCATTGCCAATTTCATGGGTGGATTGGAAAACTATTCCCAAGTCTGGTAGGTTAATGGCATTGGCTTCCGCAACATTAGCAATTAAAATCCCGGGTTAACATTGGACTGGCGTCCATGACCCACCCATCGGAGGACTGACCACCGACCACCGACCGAAGCCACCG